GTCTACTGTCGAGACTCTGAAGTTCTGGATATCACCGATCGCTTAGCGGGCCGGCGGGAAGGAGGGACTCTGGCGAGGGAATGGAATTTTATCCGTTTGATCAAACGGTTCGTATATTAAACTTCTGTAAGCGATTAATTACTTGGGTCAGCAAGCGGGAACGCTGAACCGTAGTTTGAATCACCCTGAAATGGAAGATGTTCTACTCGACGCCATACAGGCGGTCCTGCTGATCTGAGGAGTTCGCATTCCCATCAAGACAGAAGGTTCTTCAAAGTTACACTTTGAAGACGTGGAGACACAAGGGTCAGATCTTACTGTGCTCGTGTCCAATGTAACTATGGGTATACGGTGGATACACGGATCCTGACGATAACTCGTAATCTTATTCGTAAACATGAATTTGCGATGAATAAGCCTCCTACACGTTTAGAATTATACAGGCGAAATAACTGAGCTTGCCCGATGAAAGCGTGTCTGTAGTGCAAGCTCCCATTCACGGATCTGGGGCAGTAGCCTCCGGTACTAACCCTCATCCCATAGACTTGAGTCCACTGTCTTGCATACGAGAACGCAATCAAATCGTCTGAGACTGCCATTGTAAACTCATTCTCTGTTTGGATTAGCCCAATAACTTCCGGGAAAATGAACCACACCCACCTCCCAGTACACGTATATGTTCCCAGCCATGCAATGCACAAGGAATCTCCTCAACGGTGGCATCATTTTTAGTACCTTTATAGAGCTAGTGACTCCTCTGCTACGGAAGCTCACCTTTAAGACCCGAAGCGAAGGGCAAAGTGAAACCAATCTCGGCTAGAGAGAAGTCAATGCAGGTTCCAGCTGATGAGTAAACAAACTACGTACAATTCAGTCGTGGTAACGTTTGCTTGAAAGTGAAAGATGCGTTTAAATCTACGATTTCTACGCAGAATGAAACTCGACTTCGTAAACTACGGCACTGAACAAATCACAGGAGCATGACCTTACCTGATGAGACGTAGAGAGTGAGGCCCTCGAGTACTCGTACTTCGGTCAAAGCCGGAAATAGTTCCGCCATATGGACCCCTTCAATCCTTGGTCTACGCAGCGAATTGGCTCCTTGTAGAAATTCGACGTATCCAGCCATCTATCTATGCCCGTAAGTGCCGACTCTCTCGTATAACAATATTTCTCACCAACAATGCCAGAGGCTCCAGCTGCCCAATAATCGAGCTATACCAATCTGATGCGGGATATGTAGGACACGAGAGTCGAATTGACCAGGGGTTGAGCCATTCAGCCGTCCGAACACTCGAACAGAGGTGGACATTGTTTGAGAGTTTCTCGAGGCTGAAGAAGGTATCAGTATCCTTGTTTTCAGTCAATCGAGTACGATATGACGATGGAACGATCCTCTTGGAATCCCCAGTGTGTAGTGGACGTAATGAAGATGGTATGCACGATGGGAGCAAATACAGGGCTCTTCTCAATGGTAAACCATAGCTAGAGATATCGTCAAAAGGAAAATCGGAGAAGAGAAAGTAACTGACACTCTTGTCCTTGTCCTGTTTTTCCCGGTCGGTGTTGATAACTATTGACCTGTAAAGCGCTTTAAGGGCAACTAGGTAGATCGAGCGAGAAATAAGACAAATTGACACCAATGATGACCTTTCTGGGTAGTCAAAGATGACCATCAGTAGTTCGTACGGTAGATCTGGTAAACCACGCATAGTCGTAGATCATCGATTACGGTACTCGAGATATGGTTGTAGCGTCGAGGTATTTACCCTCCTTATACTGGTATAGATACGATGTCACTCTTATAGAGGAACGCAAGCTCTTTCGTTGCAACTGCAGGAGCGGTCTGATCATGGTCGGGTTCAATAGTATCGATCAGATTCTGTAGTTGAGCATCTGTTCTTATGTAGAACCTATATGCTTAGAGCAAGAAGATACTTTGTATAGAACAAGGAGGGAGATAGGAAATTCGCACCATGTCGACAACCTGCCTCTCGGGGACGAACTGCGCTCAGGCGGTATCCATGTAGGGCTTTGAGACCACCTCCTCCATTGAGGTGAGTCAAATGTGAGGAGGCCTGCCGGAAACCTCAGCGCGTTGTGACTCTCGGGTTATCACCTAACACTACGAGGCCAGTGAGGACTAAACTTTTGTTCTGTGTAATCGTGACCTTCTAGCAAAAAAACGCAGTTCCTGTCTCGTCTGGGGGGTGGAAGGATCTTTGGGCAATCACAAGCCAATGAGGGATTGGTCGAGGTCAAATCATGTCACCCGACGATCGAGACCACATGCCATGTGATTTAATTTGACACATACTACATACCTCTCGAGTAATTTTTGATCCTAGTGACTCTAACCCTCGGGCACTTGCGCATTTGGTCCTGGCTGAGTAGATTTCTTTAGTTAGGATAACTCGACAGCCAGCCGCTGATAACTCATGAAACATATACTGAATAATCTAAAGCATATTTCACATGGAACCGATCGAGAGACAAAAAATACGATCGCCGGTTCCATCGTTATTGGCTGGTTGGCAGCCTCCTCCGTGAGTTCAATAACTCAGTTTCCAGCAATCGTCAACCTACGATATCTCGGAGGGATAATAAAGAGCATACTATACACTGACAAAACCTAGAGAGAAGGGGGTATGATTGCCTGTTCTGCCGTTATTGGCCGCGAACAGTTATTAATTCGCACCTGAATTAAATCCGAGATAAATATAACTCAACTGGGTAAGAACCTTCGAACCAGAGTAAATAAGCTTGTACTGGGCCACATTATCAGCAAGACTGCCCAAAAAATGAAAATTTGGAAAAAAAATCGAGTGACGCTAGGGTGATTCGAACACCCGTCTGTTCGGCCACAACGAACTGATCTAACCACTAATCTATAGCGTCGTCACTCTTA